AGAGTTGAGAATTTAGAGAGTTTAGAAATTTAAGAAGTCGAAGAGTTAAAAGGAAGAAAACAAAATGATACGAAATCCAAACTCGCGGACCTGATTGAGAGTTAAGAGTTGAGAATTTAGAGCAGAGAACTGAAAATTGAGAATTGAGAATTGGGAGCTGAAAGTTTGAGAAGTTGAGCAATTAAAAAATGATATAAAATTCAGATTCGCAGGTTTGTGATGAGAGTTTAGAACTGAGAATTAAGGGGCAGAGGGGAGAGAAAGAGAGAACGCACAGCTTAGTTATAAATAACTATAGTAATTTATGTTAGATTGCTTAAAATTAAGAATATTTGATTGTAATAAATAAATTTAATAAATTTGAAATTTGAATGAAAAATTTCAAAATAATTTAACTTTAAATTGTCAAGGGTTAATTACAGAATCACAAGCAAAGATAACATATGATAAAACTGATTCCAATTTACCAATTTCTTAGCAGAATGAAATTCAATTAAATTCAAAAAGTAACCAAGTAATTTAACTCTAAAGTGTTACGGTTCCTAACGACCCAATGACACTAGTTGAGAGTTTTGGTTTATTTATACTTTTACAAGGTATAAAACATCTTTTTCCCAATTGTACCATGAAAACTGTATCATCTTGCGGATTTTAATGGAAATTTACATTTTTGTAAATAAAATTCAGAGAAGAGAATCTAAATGAAATTATTTCACGTTTATACATTTTTATATATTTTCACGTGTTGCATTACACCTTGAAACATCTCAGCTGAAAAATGAATGAAAATTCACACTGATCGGAACGGCAATGAACGGCTAAACTGAAAATTTCGCCAAAGAAAGGAACGTTTCGTCCGCGTAACAAACAATAATAAATGAAAACCGTAATGAAATGCGACCTACATTGATCGACTCCCGAATCCTTCGTCAATCCTGTCTATTATACAAACAGCAATAAACAAAAACTGTCGGCCACTCGCGAATAACACGAGATTTAATCAAAGACGATGATTGGAACATCGGACGTGGAGTTAACGTTCCAACGAAATAATAATGAAGATTAAAACTAAAAAGGAAAGCTTGCCTCGAAACGAACGACGAGGCGAAGGATCGCGCGAGTAGAGAGAGAGAGAGAGAGAGAGGCGAGCTCTACATCTCTGCTCCCAATCTTCCTCCTCTACCTTCGCTCCACCAAAAAAAAAAAAAAGAGAGAGAAACTGGAATATAACAAAGAAAGAAAAAGAAAAGGAAATAAACTAGAAAGTTCGCATGCACGATACAGAGATTCCGAAAGAGAGGGAGAGGGAATGCTCGTTCATGGAATTACAAATCATCGAAAAGCTGTGCGCGAAACACAAAGACGTGGGCAGAAAGAGAGAGAGAGAGAGAGAGAGAGAGAGAGAGAGAGAGAGAAGGGGGAGGGAGGGTGGTGGAAATTCGTTGAAAAACCTATTCTATTCGTTACAAGCTCGCGGCGGACGCAACTCGTAGGCAAACGATGCACGCGGCCGTGAAACGAAGAGTTTCTCCGCTCTCGCACACGTTGCCCGACGTGTACGTAGCTGGGTCAGTCGTATGGGTGTACGTTACAATCAAATACCGAAAACGGGGAGGAAAAGAATTAAAAAAGCTATCTGCCGCGGGATGATAAAAAGAAGGATAGCCTCGGTCGAACTGGCTGAAGGACGAAGAAAAAGAGGGACAGAGATGTGCTCTGAGGAGAAAAAGAGGGAGAGAAAAAGAGAGAGAGAGAGAGACGGTGATAAAGGAAGGCTAAGGGTTGGGGGCGAGAGAAGAGGGTGTCGAGAAACAGCGTGCAGAACGCGAGAAGAGAGAGAGAGAGAGAGAGAGAGGAGGATGGAAGACGACGAAGATGAGGAGGAGACAGAGAAGACGAGGAGGATGACGAGGCGGAGAGAAACGCGGACGCGGACGCGAACGCTACTGCTAGTAGAAAAGGGACGTCCCACGCCGGACCGGCGCGGCAGGTAGTGGTGAGCGCACGTATTGGTGCCGGCCGTTTGTGTGGGTCGTTGGAAAAGCTAGATGGCAAGGTGGAAAGAAAATCGCTCGCAGGCTATTTTCCGGAGGAATTTTTATTGGTAGATCCGCCATGTTCCGAGGTTAGGTAGGGGTAGCTGGTGCCGGCGAGGACGAGCTTGGATTGGCGGTCGTCCGGGTAACGCGCCCCTCGAACGTCCAATCGGGTAAAGCGAGGTGAACCTCGTGCTTTCCGTTGCCCGACCGAGCACGGGGGTGAAAGGGAGCGCTGGTTACAGGCAACAACCCCCTACCATAGGGTAGCAGCCCCTCTAAACGTTCTCTGTCCCCCCGCGGAGTCACCGGGATAACTGCATTTCGTGGACAGAATCCCACAAGAACTCACGGCGAGCGGTCGCCCCTCTAACACCGGCCGACTCTCCTATCGTTTCGGCTTTTTCCTCCACGGGAAACGCGTTACGTAGCGAAACGTACACGAAAGGAAGGGCGCGAGACCCTCGTCCTGCGACCCGGTCCTCCATCCTCGTACTCGTACTCCTCCCGTATAGATATCGGTGAGCCACACTCCGTGTCTCGTTTGTCGTTTCGCGTCCTCTCGCGCGTCCCTCGTTTTATATCCCGTCGCGATTCGCGTCCGCGATTTTCGCTGACTCGCCCGCGAGAGACTCGCTCGCTCGGTTGCGCGCAGTTTCGATCCGGTGTGCCGCGCGCGCCATTCCTCCGCGCGATTATTTCGATATTTCAATTTTCAAGGGCACGCTCGGCGGTACCTCGGGGCCTCCCCCTTCCCTCCCACCCTTCTTCTTCTTCGAGAGAGACCCTCCGATTCTAACCCGCCTAATTGCATCGGCGAGATAATAAGATTTGAATTTCGAATCGAGGCCACGGTAGCGGTAACGTCCGCTTCCGATTAACCAGCCGCTGTCGTCCTCCTCTCTCTCTCTCTCTTTCTCTCTCTCTCTCTCTCTCTCCTCTCCTCTCTTTCTCTCTTTCTCTTTCTCTCGTTCGTTCGTTCTTTCTCTCGTTGATCGACGTCCCAACATCCACGTGCATCTGTCCCGGGCGTTATCGAGGAAACGAGAGAAACGAGGGTTTCTTCGTTTCTCTTCTGCTTTCTTTCATTCTTTCTTTCGCCTCCCCTACCACCCTCCCCCAGTCGGCCGCGTCGTCGCCAAGTTCTACGAGAAACCATTGTTGGGATTCGGAGGCGTTCGACGTCTCTCGCCCGACGTGAACACTGCCTGGCCCAACGACGAAAACGCAAACTCGAGGCAATTGGGATCGTTGAGGAGTGAGAGAATTGGATCGTCGAGATTGGGAAGAGAGTATATAGCTCGCCCGCTCGTGAAAATCGCCGGCTCGTTGGAAGCTCCCAATCGCCACGCTGAAGAAGAGGGACGACGAGAGGACAGTGGCCAAGGATACTCGCGAAGAAGAGGACTCGAGGAACACGCAACGAGGAGGCAGAGTTTTTTTTCGGACGTGAAGTTAGTGTACGTCTGGACGACTTTTGCCAGCTGAGCGAGGATTATCCGATCCCTCCCGACGATCAATTTTGTGAAAATCGCTCGAGATCAAAGGGATTTGGCCGCCAGGAAAGTGTCGCCGATATTGTGTTGAAAGAAGTGAACTTTTCGAAAATGTGTGAACGAAAGTAACTGTTTCGGACAGTACCAAAGGTTGCCCCTTTCATCAATTTCAAGAGGAGACAGTATACTACGGGTAGTATAGTATTTCAGAGTCTCGGAGGAAAAGGAAAACTTTCGCGTTTGTTCGTGAAAGTCGAACCAGGAGAGATCAAACGTGCGACTGTACGAGAAATATTGAAATATCGAATGGATCGCTCAGAGGTTATAACGATTTATAATTGATTTTTAAGCGGCAAGTGGTCACCAAGATCAATAATTTCTTCATTCTAGAAGAACGTTGAACGCGAATAAATCAAGAATCGAGAGCTGATCTGTCAAAGTGTTGGAGAGAGCGTCAAAATATCTAATAAGTTTGGCTTGACTAAACAGATATTGCTTTCATTTTTAATCGAGAATACGAGGTTCGTATAAAGGTCCGATGAGTCTGTAGGTTCTTTGCAAGGAAGAATTAGTCTTTTAGGATCCAAGATCACGATTCGTATTCACAAATCTGTGCCAACAGATTTACAGAGCAGGATTCAGCAAAGACAGATTTACGAAGTAAAGATCCAAGAATAACGAAGCAAGATTCATTTTCCAGGGAAATCCAAGAACAAAAGATCCGTGTAGGTACGATGAATCTGTGTTGCGAAATTTAAAAAGAGTGATCCACCTTTAGATACGATACGAAAGATACGACGAACTGTTTAAAAAAAAAAAAAAAAAGTATTCATCGAAGAAAGTTCGTTCTTCAAGAACAACACGATTCATAGCCTGCTAGAACTAATCCAAAAAAAACTCGAGAACTCTCGAATTCGAAGAAGAAACGAACTTGACAGACCACGAACAAACGAGAACCACGACAGAATTAAAGAGGTCGATCCTCCAGTTCGGAAAACACCTTACGATTCTTCGAAACTCGAAGAGCAGAGGACCTCTCAAACCTACCGGAATTATTCTAAAAAACTCTCAAAAGAGAAAAGAGAGCAACCAGCTGGCAAATTTGCGAGCAAAGCAAAACTGATCGTTGGATAACTGGAGAGAGAGAGAGAGAGAGAAACAGGAAAAGAGAGGGAACAAGAAACGGTCGTGGTTCCTCCTCCGGAAGAGGAACCGCAGAGGATGTCCTGGTAGGTTTGTGAAAGAACGTCAGGTGCATTTGATTCGAGAGACCTCGACAAGGTCAAACCGGCATCACCCTGGCTAACGACCTGTCCGGAGGTACCGGCGGTCCCGGTGCAGGCGGCGTCGGTTCCGTCGGTGGCACATCCTCCGTCGGCGGCGGCGGCGGCGGCGGTGGTTCCTCGCTGCCGACCACCGCTCTCAGCCTCGATCATCAGCAGTTCAACATATTCCCGGCGATCTTCAGCAGACAGTTGAATTTCTCCGCGGCCGCGGCTGCCAACTGCGGCCAGAACAAGCTGATGGACGAACTGAGGCCGAACCTCGGTTTGCTCGGCGTCGGGCTCGTCGAGAACGACAGCTTCCATCTGAATCACAATCAGGAGAAGAGGAAGTGCAGCAGCACCAGCTCGAACGAGCAAGATTTCAGTCTTTATGGGGTGCACCAGGGCCTGGAGGCTAGCCCGCCGACGCCGGCCGCGACGCCCGGAAGGAGCAGCGTTGGCGCTACTTCTACCGTTGGTAAGTATCGTTTTTCTTTTTTTTTTTTTTTTCCTTTTCCTTTTTCGATCTCATCTGGTTGTCAACTTTTAACCATCGAGTCCAGCATTGGTACTATTTTAATCGTTTGTCGTTGGATGATAGAAGTACCGACGATTGAAACGATTGAAAAATTTCCATCGGAGATGCTAAAGTAAAAGAAATGGAAAACTTTACGGCAGAATGAAGTGAACGAGCTTTTATTTATATATTTTACAAAAAATTATTTAAATCTCTAATAAAAATACACTGTTCTATATTATCTGTAAAATTTTCAACAAAAATTACAAGCTAGTCATTTTTGACCAGTTAATCCATAACGTGGAGTCATAAATAATCATCAAGAATTTAAGACATTTATTTTTCTATTGTCCCTATAGATAGAGATTAGTAGCAACATTAACCCTAGACAGATTCCAGATTTTCTTTTCTTTACAATTGCCTTTTCTTTACAAAGATGCCGAAATTAATATATCAGTTTCCATTTAGACTTTTGACACTTGCATTAGAGATCGGTAGTTCTATCTGTTAAATCGAAATTAAGCAAACTGTAAATTGAATGTAACAATAAGCGTTAACGTGACTTTTTCAGTGATCGCTTTTGAGGGTTAGAATCATGCTCGAATAAAAAATAAATAATTTACACAAGGCAACATAGTGTTCGCGTCTGTAGAGCAGAAGCAGGGTTTTGCCTTACCAAACCTGTAATTATTATTTTGGAAGCTTAGTCGTCTCCAATATTGTCCCTATAGTTCTAACGGAAGAAAGGTTACAAAGCAATAGATATCATCTGAGTTTTACTCCATCAGTGGGTCATCGAGGCCTCATTACTAATTTTTTATTACAACCGAGTTTTATTATTAATTTCCATTGTGAAGAACGCAGAGTATAAAATTCAAATCGAGAACCCTAAATTAAATTTAACGTATATCAATATCGATCATCTATGAGGCGATGATTATATGATATTTGAGTATCAAGTAAAATATTTGGAAAATTATTGTTATTTAATTTAAATGATAGTAGAAATTCGTTCATCTGACGATTAAATGGCGACGTTGAAAGATAATTGTGTCTTATAACTCTTATTGGATTATATAATACTATGTAGACTCCCTTTGCACATAATTGAACTAGTATTATTAGTGAAATTTTACAAAATTACACGTTACGAATTACTCTTGCACAACAAGTTCAGTCGTAAACTTTTCCAAAAAAAATTACAAATTATCTGATCATCTTACTATAGAAGAAACATTTATAGTCTAGAAAACTTCTAGCTTGTTAATTTATTAATATATATTATTAATCTTTTCCTCTATTTTTATTATTTATTAATATTATTGGTTAATAAATTATTATACAAAAAGATCTTGATGTTCGTCAAGCTTTTGAAATTGAAGCTGAACAATTATATCTGCGTTATTGAATTATTCCTCTGAACGTATGAAATTTATTCTGGACACAAACAAATGATTCCGTATATTCATTATAACAGTAATATCAAATAATGAATGATTAGCTATGAATTTCGATATAATATTTGTCAATTAATTACTAATAATAATAGAAATATGTTTTTTTTTCTAATTTTCTTGCAAGAATCACACAATGGATTGAAATTTAATTTTTATCGTATTTACCGCAAATAAATACTTTATCATTTTATATAGATAACTACATGTATCTTCGTAATTATCGTAAGTCGACAATTTGCTTTAATTTTCATCTATACTACGTAAGTTGTTGTTTGTCGGCAAACATCAATCGAAAGCATAATTATAGCATCATAATACGTTATTATCATTTAATGATTTCAAGACCGTGAATATTTTTCTTCTGATTTAATAAATGAAAACTCAGTTGTTAAACCACATATTGGCATTTATAAATATTGCATAATGTGTGTTAAAAAATTTTTTCTTAAAATATTATATAAATCCTTCCTTGTTTGCTAAACTGAGCGTAAAATTGAAAATATCGTATGCATCAAAATATAAATATATTCTTTTCTTCCCTAAACTGTAAAACTGTAAGACTGCAATGGTAAAAACCGAAAAATCGTAGGGCAAAAATTTAAAAGAAACTTAATTTAAATCACGATAGTATCACGAATAATCCACGACTTACACCGATCGACGGCCAAGTCAACAACATGCTTCTAATTACGAGCAAAAGGGAGCTATACCTAGAGGACGATTTTTTAAGGTAAAAATGGACAACGTGTCATCTCGATATAGACGAATTTTCCGGTTGTTGAGCCTCGAGTACGTACATACGTCGACAATGCGATCGGTTATAGTGTTGACAATGGGGACTTGGACTAGACCATATGGTGGTACCTGTTCTATGGGCTATTATTATGTGCTCGTGGGGGTTTAAGAGAGCTTAGCACCAAGGGCGTGCTAATGGGGTTCGCTCGAATCGTTCGACGTAGGCGCGTGTCGAGTCTTGTCATCGAAGCGAAATCGCGAACAAAACCTCTATCCTTGTCCCTCCGGCTATAAATTGACAGTGACTTGTACTTACTGCTAGAGTTCAACGTTAGGCCAGCTGTTGGTTTTCGTTAACAGGTTCGTCGCAGTGACGATTTGCAAAAAAATTTTACGTTCGAGATACTAGAGACAGCGTTAATTATATGCTAAATGTTACACTCGTTACCACTCGTTAGTGATAATAATATATTCCGAAGTATATTTTACACTTTATTTTTGCTCTTGTCAAACGTAATTTTCTGAAAGTGTGTTAGATTTTCTTATCTTTTAAATTTCGTGGACAATATATAATTTAAAATATTAGGAAAGTAATATGCAGCATGTAAATTAAAAATTAAAAATTTTCGAAATTCTTACAACGATTGATTGTTTTTTCAACAAAAGTAGATACATTTTAGATTTTCTTAGAATAATTCTCGAGATTATTATTTCTTGCTTTTCTATAATGCGTAGGTATATGTTTAGAGAAAAGTTCCTCTTTGGAATAATAGTGGACAACAGACTTTTTAAAAGTAACAACAAACGTAATTAAAATAATATATCTGTGGTTCAAATTAGAAGATCGTTGACACCATTTTGAAAATATTTTTCTATAACCAGCCACATACTGTATCAATCTATTTTATTAGACTGATATATCATTTATTTCAATTCTGAGATTGTTCTCAAATTTTCTCACTCAAAATTATCAATGCATTCTAATTTATTTTCTAAATGTTTCAATATAAGAAAACTTTCATCTATGTAGGTATGATTCTGGATGAAAAAATAATGAAAAATAGACACAGTTCAATTTATGATACTAGCTCTAAATTAAGAAATCAGTTTCCTAGACTTGAAAATATCTTTCTATACTGCATCGATCTGCTTTATCATATTTATCAATTACAGTTCGGGAATTATTCTCAAAAATTTCTTTAAAACTACCAACTACCTATTTCCAATTTATAGAAATGTATTAGATCATTTCACACGGAAGTAGCAATTTCCAACAATGATTTATACATAAAAATTGAAAGCAGAAAAAATATTGACACACTTGACAATCCTCAATCGTACATTTAACGTTTATTAGAAAAATTATAAATTATCTTTTTACAAGTACTGGAATGTTCTCGGACGATGTCATGTCGACATTACAGAATATGTTATTTTCTGTTCAAATACATGATAGTCTCATGTGTCAAGATCTGTTTTTCGAATTTTTACATTATATTTACCTATATATTTTATATTACATTTACCCGTATATGTTATATCACATATATATTATATTATATATATATTATAAAATTTTTATATTATGTCTTTTAAACTGCTATTGTACACATTGCTTTTACAGTAAACTGCCTACAAAAATAGATTTTGTCAACGTATCATCTCTCTTCAAAAAAAAAAAAAAAGAATTGCAAGTGTACTGATACATTTTTGAGTATACTGTATATTCTTAAGTGGTCCAGTACAAGGAACATTCCCCTAAATAGGAAAGAAACTCGATCGCCCGTACGGAAAAGCGGGACTTGTTCGCAAGTCAGCGATATTAAATCTTCCTCTTAAAAACAGAAACGGAAGCCGGGGTCGTTTGTAGCGGAGAAATTTCGCGGATACGCGGTATTAAAAGGGGCCAAGGAATCGTCGCGGAAGACCATCGCTTGAGTACTTTTAATGCCGCGGAGAACGCAGAGGGTTAACGACATTAATTTTTCCCTCCTCTCTCTCTCTCTCTCTCTCTCTCTCCCCGCTACAGCCTCGTTTCTTTTTCTCTCGCTTAGCACCGCGACGTAGCTGAGTTTTCATTTGCATTAGAATACCGCGGCAGTTTCATCTCGTTTCGGGAGAAGTCTGACTGACCTTCGAGGGAAAAACAAAACCGGTCCTCCGGTTAAATTGGACCCATCGCGTGAAATTCATTACCGAATAACAAGATCCCGTAGAAATATAATGTGATGAAATTTTCGTCGCCGCGTCGACCTGTTGAACCTGCCGTTTCATTTTCGCGAGACGCCCCGTGAGAAAAAAAAAAAAAAAACAATTTCGGAACTTGAGGAAAACTTGTTTCGCGACGGCACGATGGAAAATTGTCGATGGTTCGAACCGTCGTAACCTCGTGAGAGTGAATCGTTCAGCAATCCGTCTGGTCTCATTTTTCAAAGGGTAAAGTTTTAAACAGCCAACTTCCGAACTCGTATCCTTTCGAAGAAGGGAAAATAAGGAAAATTCTCTAAATTTCACGGTTATTCGTGATTTTATTGAAACTGAGCGACAAAAGTTCGAAAAAATCCTTGTCTAACGTTCAAAATTTAATAAAACGGCGAAGAGAAAATCATACAGCGTATTTTAGGGGAGACTTTGATCTTCAAGATCACGCTATATAGGGTATAGTTATGAAAAAAATTTTCCGACGGGTTTCTGGGGACGTTTGAATTTTTAATAATTGTCGAGAATGAAGATCTAATTACGTAAAAGCATTGTTGAAAAAAATGCATCGAGGGTCGTGATTTTATCGAACTGATTTTCTAAAAATAAATTGCTCGAAATGTAGATGTAAATTTAAAAAGGAATCAAGCACAATTAGAAGAGTATAGAAGACAACTAGATAATACAATGAAAAGGATATCTGTTAAAAATGAAAAATGGAAAACGAAATTTTCCCAACAAATTGATCGTCTTTACGAACTAACAAAACACAACTTTAACAATTTTAATTGCAATTTTCGGACTGCGGATTTTTATGCGAACTTGTGCTTTCGGGAATATTAGAATTCTAATAGGAAATTGTTTCGAATATCTCGTTTTTACATTATACAAAATTTCTACAACATTATACAAACGCATACGTGAAAATTCCATTGATTGGTACACGGATCAACTGAAAATGAAATTCCTGACAACAGCGTTTCTGTGGCATTCACTGGTTATTTATGGATTAGTTTGACAAGCAGACTTCTAATTAGAGGAAAAAGTTCCCGGCGAAGGGGCAGCTTTTCGTGTTAACTGGAATTTGGTGGCAGATGCCAGTGGAAGACAGCTGCGAAATCTCTGTATACAGTATAATTATTTCGAATGCCATTGGTACAGCTGCAATTGTTCACCCTTTCCCAGTCGTTTTAATTTCGTGATAGCCGCGCTCATTTAATCCCGAGAACTTTGAACGGACGAAGATTAAATTTTCGCAAATGAATAGATTCAATTTTTATGTGAAAACTACAGTGACGAACGTAACTAAACTACTGCGTATATAAATCCTTCCTTATTAGACAAAATTCTGGAATAATCAAAGCTGATATAAATAATCATTGTTTTTCCTTCTTTAATCGCCTGCAATGTGAAACATACTGATTCAGTTTTGCAAATTTTTCAACTTGAACAACTTGCTAATATTCGCTCTGACTTTTCTAGTCTCGCTTTGTATATAATGTTTCAACAATATAATTCCGGATGAATTCCAATCCACTACTCTTCGATTCTCTTCAAAAATTAATGTAACGTCCTCGTTTCGAAAATTTCCACGAATACAAGAAATTTTCATACTCTAAATTGAAATATAATAATCCCTCGGTATATTTTCAACTGCACCTAATTAATCGTCAAACATCTTCACGCGCAATTCGACACAATCTTAACCACCGAAACGTCGTTTTCTATTTTTCATCACAGACAAGTAGAAAATTCGTTGGCGATGTTTGAAAATTTCCAGTATCGTTGCGACGCGTATCTTCTTCTTTTTTTTTTTTTTTTCGTACGAAGAACAGCCACGCCGTGGACGAGCAACGAGCATATAAAACACTGGCAACGCATTAGCGGTTCCCGCTAAGAAATAGACGACATAACGGGGAGATTTCCCTCGTCTTCTCGTTGAACTTGACCGAGTTTCACTGTTCACCGGGTAACGGGGCAAGGTATGTAAAGTGGACAGCATTCATCCTTGAACATTGAATCAGCATGTAACATGATTAGGTCATTAACGCCCTAACCAAGTTAGCATAGTGCGAGGGACTTCGCTCGCCACCGTTACCCCGACCCGTACGTTCGTATGTTCGTTCATAAAGCCGATACCGTGAAACAACCAAGACGAACGCAGAGACTTCTACACCGGTGGATATGCCAACCTCGCGTCCCCTCGATTCGGACGGTTCCTCAACAGTGAACAAATTATCGCATGTATCGCAAGTGTTTCTCTGTTTCGCTTTTTCTGTACGACGCTTTTCTGCACAGTGCAGCATCGTGTATAAATTTAACTGGACAATCGTTGAAAGATCGGTATCCTTGTCACGTTTCGACAATTCTTCGATAATACGTCTTCTACTTCTACTGTTAATTTCTTCTGTATTTTTTTTTTTTCTTCTTTTTTTTGGATAGTCGATGCTTCGTGTATAAACATCCGTATATAAACTTTTTCGAATGCAATATTTCAGAAATATTTCAATCGTTTTAAAATTTCAACATATTGGTCCTTAGTAGCAACTATTTCGGCATAGTCCACAAATGCCAGATTTTGATCCATTCCAAATTTTGAATAAATTCCAGAATTTGAGAAGATGAAGACGCTGTAAGATGCTTAGAGTTCTATCTTTTTCTGACGCTACGTGCGTATGTTTTCTCAAATGGTGACAATAGACAATTGATGAAATAACAACAGACAGCATATATACTGTTTTAAAAATAATAAAAATAGACATGGTCCAATTTATAATAACTAGGAATCTAGGAATTAGCAAATCAGCTAGATTGTAACACAGACTATTTTAAAAATTATTTGCTGTAACCAGCTAGGTAGTGTATCGATCTTCAGCTACCGAATTATTTATCAATATTTATTAATTGTATATTTCAAGGCTAAATCAAATACGTTCGTTTAAATTGTATTTTATATTTCAACGAATCTAAAACTGTTCAGGAAACTTATTACACCGAAAGTGTAATTCATTTCGAAGTTACAAAGATTGTGCACACTGTTCTTTATTTCAAAGAATAGTTAGGAAATAAGTGTATGATTTATTTCTTTCTTTCCCCTTTTTTTAGAATTGAGAATCGAATTTTTTAGAATTCGGTCACTTTAATTGATCTTACGTTGGCAAACTTGTTCTTTTATTTGATTTTTTTGGATTAAATATATATTTTCTATTTATACGTGCTCTTCTATTCTATCAGAATTATAAGAATTAATAATTAAATATTTTATTAAATTATTTGTTGAATATTATAAGGTGTTACAGAGTTATATACTAGAGATTTTTGATATATATTTAAATATTTTATACACTGTCAATTAGAATTAAATCAAATGAACGAAAGTAAAATGAAAATGAAATATAATCAAATTTTTGCTTCGATAAAAGTAAAAATTGCACGTTTTCAATAATTGCAATACAAACTGTTTAAACTAGTTTGGCAATTCTACTGTTTACATATTGTGTATTAAAATATACTGTATTGCAGTTATACTTTCTGTAAAACTTTATCAATTATATGACCATATTTAACACGTATTTCTCACTTTTAACATATATTCGTATATTGGAATATATATTAAAATTTCCTTCCTTAGTAAAACGCGGATATTTATGCATTTTGATAAATGTATATAATTAAATAATTGCAACGCAATTAATTCACTAAATATTACAAAACATATTTCAATATTTCACATATTGTTCTTCATTGTCGTATCCTTAAATTTCCCCAAAAATGCATAAAAATCCTTAATCGTCGAATGAAAAATAAAAAGAAAGAAAATACCAACGAAATATGTCAGTCAGCTTTTTCCTGAGATCTTCAATTGTTAATTAGATTATCGTATTGTAATTAAATAAACTACACACTAATTCTATACTTTTTGAAAAATTTAAGTTCCCCAAGAGTCAACAATATTCGTATAATATACGAGAATGTATGAAATATTTATCTATCGTGGTATTTAATACAAGAAACAAATATTTACTCACAAAACTATAGAATTACAAAAATTCACGAGTTATTATACGAATAGGAAGTTGCTATGCTATAAAATAATTTCCAATTTCCGAGGGTCAAATGATCGAAGCTGACATATAGACAGACAAGTCTGTTAATACAAAGGTTCGCTTCACTGATTTTACTTTCATGGATTCCAGGCGCGGAGGGAGCTTTTAAAAAGTTAAAACCCGATCCTTGCGCTTCGAGTCCTCACATCGGTCACACACCTACCACCGCCAGCTGTCCAACGCCTGCTCGACGACGGCACAGGACTACTTTCACGCAGGTTTGCTCTCAAAAGTTACATTAATTTACACGCGCGCTTTTCTTTCGTCGCGAATCAAAAAGCAACCTATTCCTCGAATTATCTCGCTAGACGTAACTCGCGCAACTTGCTAGAGCTCCGTTCATTCGAACTGAATTTCAGTCATCTGATATCCGATCTATCTGGTCTAGAACTATCAAACGAAAAAAGTATAAAATTTGTGGCGAAGAAATTGAAGTGTAATGCAACGAACGACACACAAGCTTCTCTATTTACATATTTTACTAAAAGTCATTCGAGTTTCTGAAAAAATAGACTGTTATATAAGTATATATGAGATTTTAAAATATACGAAATTATGAATTGGCCGTTTAAAGTAACTCGAACTCAGTGTTAAATGAACTCTTGCCAATTGAATTCACTTATCCGAATCTCAACTCTTATCGCGTGAACGAAAAATCATTCATTAAGTAAACTTATTGATCGGAAATTACACGATCTCTTTGTCACTTTGTGAAATAAATTACTTGTTGTTTAATCAATACGCGAGGTAAAAGTTTTTTTTTTTAAATACTATTATTATACAAACTGCATACTATTATACAAGCTGCCACGTCTCTTTCAATTAATGCTTCTATACAATTTAAATGCAATATGAAGAAAATAATATAAAATATTCAGGTAGAATGCTTTTTATAATATTTCTTAAAATCTCTTCTTTCTTTTCTTGAATTGAATCTATGGAAATGCAAAATCCTTCATTTTTGACATCAACGTAGATGCTGAAAATTATACTATCCTCCAACTCGCTAATTATATCTTAATACAATCAATTCTCGTTAGAATAATTTTTATTTTATTTACATCTAAAAAATAGCATTCGTTACCAAAAGATACAATTCCAACTGCAAAAGAGACATTGATGATGGATAAAATTCACAATTCTACTCTCTCTTCCTATTCTATAATGCTACTGTAAAAGAAAGTGTTCTATAATTCGTCTAATTTGATAACTTCTACGATACTTTGCCAATTTCCTTGAGAAATATCTCGAGACGTGATTTTTTCTTTTTCTTACTTTTTTTTTCTTACAGTTTCTTACTTTTTTCTTCGACTGAAAAGTATGAATTTCTATAAAAATCCCTTGTTCGTCGGCAATCTCTCGCGCGCCAGTCCGCCCACGATTCTCGGTCTAGGTTGGATTACACATTGGGTAAACTCGTCAGCGAATTTTTCGATAACGACATTTCGATTACCTCGATCCGAGATCTTTCGGTGCAGCGTTCAAATTTCCTGCCGGCCAGTCCGGATCGGCTTCACTACGGCCTTTCAATTGTTTCGCAGGAGCAGCTGGCAGAATTGGAATCGGCATTCGCAAAATCTCATTATCCAGACATATACTGCAGGGAGGAATTGGCGAGGTCCACTAAATTGAACGAGGCTAGAATTCAAGTGAGTATCCCGTAGTTTTCTTTAACCCAAGAAATATAGGAAACACGAGAAGCTTCTTGATTCACTTTCCATTGAGCTCTTTGGACGGACGATCAACCTTGGTGAAATATCATCCTCGTGAAAAGCAACTCGAACGAAGTGGTTTTCACTCGTTCTTGTAAAAAAAGAAAAAAAAAAAAAAAAGAAAAATTAATGAATCGCGAGCGAGAAATGATCTTCAACTTGATTTACCGATTCTTACGGGGATTGGATCGTATTTTCAGAATGAAATGAATGTTATTTATTAAGTTGAGAAGTGCAAGAAGTACTGTTCGAATTTTTTACTTTGTATAATTTCTGAATTTCATTAGATGTTTAATGGAAAAGTTAAATTTCAAGTAATATCCGTTTTCGATTGATTGGTGAGCAACAACTAATTTTATCTTGTAATCGATCATTTTTCTACGTTTCCTAAATCTTTATACTTCTTCGTATCATTTTTGTATTGAATTCAGAGTTGAAGAGTAAATTAGTGCTATTTATTTTATTTTGACGTGGCACTATACAACGAAAAACGAAAGAAATTATAATTCTAACTGTTAAATATAAGTAAATGTAATGATTACAAAATTTTGACAGCTTCTGCTGGCTTGAACTATGAAAATTCAAAGATTAGCCAAACGAACAGAATTCATCAACGGAACGTATCTTTTTTTTTTTTTGACTTCTGAAAATCTTTAAACAAGTTTTAAACCGGTTTTCTCGTGAAACGTTACATACGTACATACGTACGATATATTTTCTATCTTTCTGGCCATGAGTCATGCAATAATCGAATCAAAGACGCATGTAGGGTGACAAAATGAAATTACGCGCGCAAATGTCGATCCAAGACACCCTCGAGTCTTTCGGGGGTTGCAGAGTCAATCAGCGGAAACGGAGGCGTTTCGAATAAACTATCTGACGTTCGCTGCAAAATAACGAAACAACAAAAAACGCGATGCGTTGCTCATTACTTGAAACAAACATAAACTCCTGCTGCAGTTTCGGGCAAATTTTACTCGTGATAAACATAAAACACGAAATTATTAAAGTCGTTGCTCCTTCTGAGCAAATTCTTTAAAATAAACGTAAAGCAAAAAATTATTGAAATTGTTGCTCACTCCAGATTTGGATACATTTCGCTTGAAACAACGATAAAATACCAAATTATCGATATTAATGAGTATTAGCTACGTTGCTTAGAGTTGAGCAAATGTTGCTCGAGGCAAACATGAAGTACATGAAATATCGAGATCGTTGCGCTATTTTTCAGATAGTAGGGAAATTTTATTCGAGACGAAGGATTTTTCAATTATTTGAAAATAGCGAATTGCCTCGGGTCCGTGGGTACGGCAACCAACCCAAAGGACTCACGCAAGCAGGGATTGGTCGTGGACACATGACATGACCTTTGCCCTGGCGGTCCTCCCTGCGGTAGGTCCTCCCAACTCGCTCCAGTTATTTGAATATTTTTGCCATAATAAATTTCACCGTTATTCAGTTTGTCGTTTATTATGTAAAAATGCAACGTGCTGAAACAACATGTACCTAACGAAATTTCAACTGATGGTCCGTGGATAATTTATGCAATATTATATAGATACCGTGTATTAACCTGATACTTTTACGCGTTCACGCGTTCACGTTAAACGTGGCTAGACGTGAAACAGTACTGCAGAATAATTTTGCAGAGTGATTTCTCGTAGAAATTTTTCGAAATTTACAACCACGAATTTCCTTTTCTCGCTTAACTTTTGAAGCTTAAATCGATCTCTGACGGGTTACATTAGCTCATTGTTTTATCTTCAAAATTGGTGGAATATTGTAAAATTTTTGGCTTTTAAAAATACAGTGCTATATCAGAATAAAGTGAATATTCGTTAAATTGTCACTGTCTTGTTATAAAAATGAGTTCAGAAGTACAAAAAACTTTTAGTGCCTGCGACAGAAATCTAAAGCGTTTTGTCGTTTAATTCCAATGTTCGAAGTTTAACAAAACTGTAGGAAATGTAGTGAAAATATAAAACAAACTTCTGTGTGGAAAAGAAACGAATGTCTTTATTTAATGAAATGTTAATAATCAAATAGTGTATGCGATACAAATGAGGTAGTCACGCGGCAAGGACTGGCAAAGAACGAAAACTTCCTGTTCGGCATGGTCCTATCCGTAACTGTAGAGAATAGTGTGAAGAGGATAAAAAACAGATGTTAACCTTTGCCCCTCATAAAGCCATTTTCAATGGGCCTACACTACTGGATGGTCGAGTCGTTGTATTCCAACAAAAACAAAAACAAAAAGGGGACACTTCAACCTTCAAGACCACAGTGGATTTGCTTGAGAAGAAAGTCGTTTGATGCTCGAATTTTCACAATTTCCGAGAACAAAAAGAAAAAAAAAAATAGCTTTCACATAAAAGTATGCTTAAAGAAAAAGAAAGAAGAAAAACCAAGGCGGAGGCTCGAAAATGAGAGCAACCGGACTTCGTTTAAAATACAGACAATACTTTCTGTTATCATCTATCGTGCGCGAGTCCACCGTCGCGGTCTCAAATAGAGAACGTTTGCAAAAGAACGAGGGCTAAACACTCGGCGCGATGCGGCCGGCGAAAGATGAAACGCAACAGATTCGAGGGTAGTAGTGCGGTTTTTGACAACGTTAAAGAATGGACAGGTTGGAAAGAGGAGTCTCTCGCGGTGGCAAAGGATTTCGCGTTAGCTGGCGCGGAGCCCCGCTAGCTAGCTAGCTAGACACCCCCCCCCCCCCTCTCACTTTCGAATCCTGAAGCGGTACATATTAAAACAGTCGCCAGTGCGTTTCGCTCTTTTGATATATAATGCAGGACGGTGTTGTTTGAGTTAAAAGCCCAGGAACCGCGGTGACTTAACCCTGTTAAACTGCGATGCCAAGTAAAACGCGGTTTGCTTTGCTTTTACTCGTTGGTTATAATCCATGCACAAAGTGTCCAGGCAGGAAGTGGCTTCACCCAATGCGGCGGGGACTTTTCGAACGCGTTCATTTGCCAGCCTCAAATGCAAAAATATCCACCCCCTTCTTCAATCGGTCGTTTCTGGCCATTAACTTTGAAACGAGCCGATGCGATCGGCCACCGGTTTACCATTCGGTGTCGTTCGTTTTCTTTTTCTTCCTCTTGTTAGCAAGCTTGCTTCCGTTCGCGACGGTTAAAGGTTGTTAAACACCGTTCACGCAATTTTTCTCCTGTTTCGAGTTCACGTTGATTCCTCCTGATTTTCTTCCAGTTGCACGAAAGAATGCAATTGGTAGACGTGTTTGATGAATATCGACTTCGAAATATCAACTTTCGGACTTCGTTCGGCAACGAAGCGACGGATTGAACATCGTTTTTGTATCTATGAATTCACTATCTATTGTTATCAAAGAATACTCACGTTGTTACTAGAGAAAAAGAGGAAAAAGAGCAAGAGAAAAATATTAATCTTACGTTCTGTCATTTCCTTACTTGAAAATATTCCAATTAAAAACAGAGTGCACAGAGTACGTAATTCCGAGATAAATTAGACTAGCGTGCAAGTACTTGAACGGTTTTAAATTACTGCAATATAAGATACAATTTGAAGTGAATCTAACTCGTTTAATCTCGATACGTACAATTGATAAATATTGATAAAAAGAATAATTGGGCGAATCGTACATTCAGTTTAACAAACGAAAAGAACATTTTTAGATGTTTAATGTAAATTTTAATCGAAGAATAATAGCTTCACGTTTTGTTTAAACTTGAAATGTTTTTCAATTTCGGAGAAACGCACGTGAGTTGAAAATGAAAAAAATCAAACTTGATTTCCGCAAGTCTTTTGCCTGTCCATTTGCAAACAGATTAATAACGCAACAAAATGTATATGTATATGTCAAAACCTTTCTTTCCTGAAATAATCGTAAATCAAGATGATAATATACTATCATAGTAGTGAATTCTAATGAAAATTCTAAGAACTCTTCAAACATACGTACGTTTCAGTCTCATTAAAATATCTGAAATTGTGCAAAATTCGAGTTAAAGCATCCCCTAAACTAATAATTTCTCTATATAAATGTGGAACACACCGAGCCGATTTAAACGCACGTAGTTCTACGAGAAACGATCAAACTTTTACACATCCACTTGCAAATAGACATTAAAATACGCACATCTGAAAATCTTCCTTTCGTTATAAAATTTCACGATCGAATTAAGTTAAAATGAAACACCCTGTACCGTGTAAAATGACACAACATTGACTCAAAAACGAACGTCTAGTTCAGATCTTAGGAAGGATTTCAAAAGAAAAAAAAAAAAAAAAAAAAAAAAAAAAAATTTCAAAACCCCCCCAAAAGAAAAAAAAAAAAAAAAAAAAAAGAGAGAATTCGAAACTCCCCCGAAAAAAACGCACGTCTCGAAACATCGAGGGAAATTTCTTTAAAGAGAGCCACCCCCGCGGTAGCTACGGCATTTTGTATTTTGGAAGATGGCGACACGCGAGTAGGGGTGCTTGTTGGATGAAAGAGAAATAGGTAGGGAACGGCGGTGGCAAAGTTGAGATGAGTTGGGAAGGAAGGGTGGCTGGGTGGCGCTGTACCGGAGGCTGCCATTATATCTGAGCCGCCATTTTAAATTGAATTTTCTCCACCCTAGATAGATCTGAAACGTCTCGGCCTTGCCGAGGTTCTTCCTTCGTTGCGAGACGGCGAGTAAGAAGATGAGGAAAAGTAGAGGGAAACCGTACGAAGGAAACACAGCAAACCCCCCTATGGCTCGTGTCCCTATCTTTCTCTTCTCTTATCTCTCGCAACCCCTGTTCCGCCATGGATATCCTACACGCCTCTATGCCACGCTACACCCCCGAATGCTAACAGCAGAATTTTCCCTAACGAGGAATAAACTAAAGCATACGAGAATGTTGCAGGGTAATTGGTATTTTATCGACACTGTGAATTTTCGAAGGGAACTCGATACGATACA